ATGCCTTTACAGATTTGAGGGGAGTTTCGTGGACACATACTCCGGGTTTGTCGTGCGCTTCAGTTGACGTTAGTCGATACACGGCAACGGTCTTTCGAACGGTAGAGGAAGTATGTTATTGGCTTCCTTACATAGAATGCAAAGTCGATTAAGGCTGCATTGGAGCGCTCAGCGCAGCTCTCCAATCTGCGATCTTTCTATCCGTAGTGTTGTTCCGCCTGAGCTGAGCGGCGACGCTGTTTTCACTTTTGAGGCATGTAGATATGTTTGATGGACGGGAGGAATTTCCTTATCCCATTGCAGTATGCGCCAATTTCAATCACTAGTGCCTTATTAAACAACCGGTTTCCCTCACCTTTTGTTGCAATAGGCCTCAGTGTCGGTGTTACCGCTCTATTGCCTTCGCCTTTGCTGTTGGAATTGATGATATGTGCCCCGTTTTCTGTCAATGCAGGTGCTAGATTTATTCGTCGTCGTCCAAGTAGTCGGTCTTATTATTAGTGGCATGGGTGACTTCCTACCACACCTTCCATTTGGCCTCACTTCAAGAGTTAGCTTCTAAGATTTACATTTCTTCCAGTTTAGAATTGGTATAATTACCTGAACGTAATCGGCCTTAACTTCGATCAAAGTTTACAGTATTTAACATACGCGATGTTCTCTTGCTGCTCTCTGCTCGGTTGGACTTACACCTTCATTCTTCAGACAGCAAGTCTCTCTTCAATGCAGCCTTCAGAACTTTGCTCCTTCTTTGTCAGTAGAAAATCACACTGATCATGCTACATGACGAGGACGTAGTCCAGTGTTTGACATTGACCTGCACGGTGTTGTATCCACATTGTTTTTTTCTGTTTTAGTAATTGTAAGGCGTTAGTGACGATGGTGTGACATTTTTTGCCTGCCTGGAACAAAGGGAGGTTTTATTATCTTACAGGTGTAGTTACCCTAACGGTCTGGCATTCCCTTCCATATAACACATTCTATTCCTACGTGCACATGGAAGTCAGTGAAGAGAATCAATTTGTCTGCATACGACAGAGCTGCAAAGGATGCATATTGATCTTCATAGATATTACCCTTCACGCCATTAGAATTTGTCACTTGTTTAGCGTAGGCGCTGATTTTGGTGGCTGATTTTCTCCTCAGTCTGGCAGCTGCCAGTTCTTAAAAGCATGTTTGATTCTCTGTGGGAGTCAGGACATTCGTCTCACGATCTCATTCTTCTTGACGAGATCGAATCCTTTGTCTCATCGCTCTACGCTTAAGCATCGACAACAGGTGTCTCTCTCAATCATTTCATTCAGCTGACCCTGCTCGAATGTTCAGGTCTCACGAAGATCCGCGATGTCCACCTCGTTGTGTGTCGGTATGCGGGTTACGAGAGTCATATTTTCTCCAACCGGTTGGCTATAGGGCTGTCTAATAGCGAGCTGCTATTTCGGGCTGCCAGAGTGAGTATTGTTGTTAGATACAGTGAGCTTGTGATGGCGTGCCCTTCCGATCTTTTAGAGCATGTTTTCTGCCTCTTCTCCCGCTAATTG